CAGCACAGGGAGTCGCTGCTTCATTCGGAAAATACAGACACCTCCCTGCAGACCCTGCAGACAAGCCCAGCATCCTTGCCCAAGATGCACAACAGCGCAGACAAGAGGGGAACGTGCCTTCTTTGTTATTAATGGCTCATCATAATTACTTGGAATAAAATACTAAATTTTAATTCAGCGATGCCTGTGGCCGTTGGGCATCTTAACATAAAAGAACGAAAAATATAATTAACTAAATCAAGGCAATATGCCTATTTCCATCCCAGCCCATTAGTATTAATTGATTGGGTTAATTCTCTTTTGTGTTTAACAGTACTCCCTAAAAAATAATTTAGAAAAAAAAAGGAGGGGGAGAGGAAAAGAGGGAAGAAGTAGAGATGGTAAATGGACACAAGTTCTGCATCTTTTCCTAATTAAGATGAAGTAATAGTAGATGTAGCTGTAGCTCTTATCATGGTCACAAAATAAGGTGCCGTTTTTCAAAAGAGTTCAGGAATCAGTACGGACAGCATGATAAACAATGGTGAAAACTCAGTCTTTGGGTACCATTTCCCAGTTGCCTCAAAGAAGTTTCTAATCTTCCTTCTTACTGTAAGGTGTACTTGTTAAAAAAAAAGTGAATTCTATTTTATAGATGGAAATCTAGGTAAGGCACAGAGTTCAGAATTCTCAAGGGCCATATGCAGAAGTGTTGGCTTTCCCAGTGTAGGAGCCTGGTCCTTCTATAGGTTGGGATTCTGGTTTCCACGAATGGAAAAATAATTTGAGGATGCAATATTTTCATAAAGTCCTTCCAAATGCAGCTCCTGGGTGACCTAATTTCACTTCTGTCTAGCACTAATCTGTTCACAGTGTGCATATCCCTCATGTAGAATAGATTCTTCACAACACCGTGGAAATGGCTAAGAAAGTGTTTCCACTCTAATGCTTTATATCGTGTTTGGTTTTTTGTTTGTTTGTTTGTTTTTATCTTTTTTTAATATCATGTTTGTTAAAATCTTTCGGAGAAATTATTTTTTGGCTTGAAATTTTGTATGCTTTGTCTCAGTCCGTAGATGGCACCAAAAAATAAACAAAATTCCACGCAGCTATTTTTCTGACGCCACGAAGGGATATGAAAAACGCAGTAACAGACACTCAGAGAGTGAACTGCTGCTATGGGTGATGATGATAACAATTCAATATGATATTTGAATAGGTTTTCATTATCCTTCACGTACTTTCACACATATTAGTGACCAAGAGAGACATCAGGGGTTTAGGGCTACTCCGTATCAACCAGATACTCCTCCCCAGTGAAAGCATTCTTCAAATACCTTTTAGGAACACAAAAATAACTTAGCAGCAGATTTTATATTTCTAGCTCATAAAGATACCCTTTTACGTGCAGGTGTGTGCATGTATGTGAATATATGTGTGTACACTTATGTAGATACGTGTATACACATATTTACAGACAGGCAGACAGGGACAGACAGCAGTGATCACCGCTAAGGGCAGTGAAAGCAAATTACTTGGGAAAAGTGATATTCAAGAGAGCAAGAGTTTGAAAACTAGACTTCTTGAATTTCATCCAGGACCTGAATTTTGCATCATTTTATTTGTCCATCCACCCAACAATCCACACATGTTTTCATGTGTCAGGCACTGTCCTAGACACTGAAGAGACAGTAGTAAGCTGATTGATGGATGATCTTTGCTTTTTTGAGCTTATCCTCACAGAGGAAATGAACTGTAAACAAACAAGTAAATTTATAGTATAAATTGGGATGATAAGTGCTATGAAGAAAAATAAAAATTGTTGTAATTTTAGAAAAGATGGCCAGTAAGACCTCTCTAATAAGCTAACATTTACTCAAAGAGAGAAGGAAATAAGAGAGCAAGTCACATGAATATTTAGCAGAAGACTATTCCAGGCAAAGGACATTATGTGCAAAGGCCCTGCGGCAGGTGTGTCCCTGGAAAATTCACAGAAGAGCTGGAGCAGAGCAGATGAGGAAGACAAGTCAACAAAGGGACAGAAGTTTAACAATGGTGTGGACTTTATTCCCAGTGAGATAAGAAGCCATTGCGGGGGCGGGGTGAGGAAAAAAGTAATAAGATGGACATATTTATAAAGGGCGTGGACAATAAAAAGTATTGATGGGGTATTTTAGCACAAAGCATAAAAGTCAAATACCAAGGACTTAAACACATGAAGTCATGTTTTTCTATCACAAAAAGTGACTTCAGAGGTGGGCAGCCCCAGGGGCCATGCCAGTATGGCAACTCCAAAGTCATCAGGGTCCTGGGTCCCTGCTAGTCTTCTGTTTCCCCATTCTGAACCAGTCACTCATGGTCCAAGATGGCAGCTGAAAGCGTGGCTATCACATTTACATTCCAGGAAGCAGGGAAGGGAAAAAAAGGAGGGACAAATAGGGTATGGTTCCTACTAAGTCACCCCTGCTTTGGGAAATTTCCTCAACGTCCTGCACCCCACTTCCCCTTCCAGCTCACTGGCCAGTTCTTAGGCACAGGCTATGTCTACCAAAGGAGACACAGCTGGGTACATCGCTGCCGCAAATAAAAGTGGGAGTTCTGCTACTAAAGAAGACAAAAAAGACAGAAATGTGGGGATCAACTAAGAAGTCGTCTGAAATGGTCCCGGCCCAGACTTATGCTGATGAGGGCTAGGCTGGTACTCACAGAGGCGGTGCTACATGGGACACGTGCTGAAGGTCCCACCAGTGAGATTCCCTGATGGATTGGTCATGGGGTGTGAGAAAAAGAGAGAAACCTAGGATGCCGCCAAGACCTTCGGCCTGAGCCACTGGACCGTGCAGTTGCATTAAGGGAGATGGGGAAGTGCCTCATGTTTTGTTTCCATGTGTTGATCTACATGATCAAAATTGTCTTGGGTACCAACGGCGTGCTCTTCACCTGCCCCCACCATGCAACTTACTTCCCGGACACTCAGATTCCTTCCGCCTACATTCGGCCTTACCTCCCCCATCGCACATTTTAGAAATTTCACTCTTACGTTTGCTCCCAAATTACGTTTCCTTCAGTAGGAATGCACCTCATACATATTAAGTATTACTCTTCACTTCTTCTGTGTCTCACACAGAGCTCCTAAGCCATGTAATAAGCATTCACAGGTCATCGGTTGAATCAATTTTCATCTGGGTCCTTTCCCTGTTCTCATCCTTTCTAGAAGCTATGACCCGTATCTCGGTGATGAAAACCTCCAAGTTTCACTCTGGGCAACCCGGTTCCCTGCCAACGACTCCTGGATCCTGTTTGTGCAGAAACCTGTCCACTCACCCTCACAATCCTACCAATGGTCCTACTTCCCGAGGGAGAGAGGAGGGACCCTCCCAGCGACGGACCTTCCCTCTCCACGGTCTGAGAGTTTGCCTTCCCAAACCTAGCCACTTACAGGTCATCCAAGAGTGAAATACTGCCTGAACCAGGGACACGAAGAAAAAGCCCTACTGAAAGGTGGCAGGTTGGGGCAAGCGTCTGGGTTACCCGGATCTTTAAATCTCCAAGAGGGAGAAGCCGGGTACACATTCCACACGTCCCTGCCTTCCTCGTACACTTTGCTCTCTCTCTGACACCTCCTCTCCATCGCCAGTCTCTGGCCTGATCGATAAACATCACTCCTTGATAGAACATTTACCTGAAACTAACAGGACAACCAGAGACTCAGAGGGGCTGAGTTTTGGCTGGGAACCTTCTCCTAAATGGTATTAATATAAGGCAAAGACTCCTGAGCAACGAAAGGGCAGCCCATCCTCCAAAAGAATGTGACTCCTGTGGCCAGAGTCCTGGTGAAAGTCCTGTGAAGAGAGCAGAGCATCTTTTGTCTGAGCTGAGACTTTTGTCTGAATTGAGACTTGAAGTCTGCAATTTTCCTTTGTCATTGCCATCCCTTAGGTGGTGGATGGCTGTCAGTAAGTCAGCACTCTCCACGGCCACTGGCTGCACACACACACACACACACACACACTAAAAGTCAGGTCAAGAGCCCAGGCTCACAGACCTTTTTTCCTTAAGGGACCAATTCATTGATTTGCCTGAAAACTTCTCCTTGCTACTCAATGGGGAAAAGAAAAGCTTCCAGAGCATAGAATGTAAAGTGATGAATCAGAGAGACCTCATTCCACCTGTGAGAGACAGGTAACAACACTGCACCAGTTTATCCCCTGCCAAATATGTTATTTTCTCCTCATAGAGCCACGTTCTTACTTTAACAAGAACAAATGCTCCTGTAAATGTTAGCTGTATTTATAGCAAAGAATTGCATTTTAGTGCAGTTTTACAGATATCCATAACTAATCACATTTCCCAAGCAATTTTCATTTGCCGATGAACAAGAGTCACTTTGATAACCATTCCGTGTTATCTGCCACTGAAGTAGGCCATGATTTCTATTCTCATTTAACAGATAAGGAAACCAATGCACAAGGAGGTAGGGAAAAAAAAAACTGACTTAGTCATTTGGTGATGGGATCGAGGAGTTGAAAGTTGAATTCTCAGTCTCTCCCAACTTCCCAGCCCCTAGAGCTATGTGGCCGGTTGTGCAATAAGGCAGCCTATTTATATGACTTTCCGTGGGACCAGGAAGTCAAAACCACAATGGGGTCAAAGCAGGAAGACACTGCTTTCTTGGCAGAGAATTTCAAAGGCAGCAACATTAACTGATTTCAGAGCCTTTTGCTCTATTGTGGGTGCTGCCAGGGACAAGCATGACTACAAAGGGCTTGGATAAAGAAGTATATTCTTGGAAAGCACTGTTCACCCTCTCGTATTTGAAAAATTAAAATAATCAAGCTCTGTGCTCGTAAGAGTCGAAAGAAAGGGCTTTCATTTTGAACCCTCTGACCACTTCTCCCTTTGACAGTGAAATCTCAGTTTGGTCCAAGAATAAATGACCCCTAAAGTTCCCCTTCCTCCTGCCCCTAAAATGATAGAATCACATATAATAACGCCACCCGCCCCCCTCAAACTCCGCCAACCTTTCACGTGCAGGAAGTTGAGGATGCTGGTGTTGGTGTCCAGCAGGAGCACCTGGCCCTTCTCCACCGTGACGTTGTCGCCCTCTTGTGGCCGTCTGCCGGCAAGCCAGCTGTGAGCCCTGGACCACCTCCCGCAGAAGTGTAAGGAAAAGTTGCCCTGGAAAACAGGTTTTGTTATTTTGCTTTCTTTTGTTGTAAAGCAGGAGGGTCTGGGTGATCGATCAAAACAGAAGCTTCTCGAACGAAAATGAATTTAAACACAATTTTAAATGTCTCAATGCGATTAATCATCCTCTTTCTCCTGCAACGAACTCGAACGGGGGAAAATACGGAAGGGGCACAGTCGTGCTTGCAGGGCCTCTGTGCCCGGCCTCTGGTAATGTTTTCTTACCTTTTTCTTCCCGGCACAGGCAGGCCCCCTTCTCCCTAACAGATGGGTTTGATTCCATTTTTTATTTTTCCCGACATGTATTGAGTCTTGGACAAACGTCATAAATAGCCCAGAATAGAAACAATTAAAATGTTCTGCTGGATGGGTGGCATTTTGCTTTATGTAATTGGTACCATTTTTCACTGGCTGTACCACCAAGTGTCCCTGTTTTACAGGAACATTCCTCTCTCCACGTGTCCAGCTCCATCCTCCCACACTGCCTCTTTTGATATTATGGTCGCTTTTTCCTCTGTGCATCCGTGCTGAAAAAGCTCGTGCACAGGGGGGAATGCCAAGTGACTTCAGATGACAGCCCAGAACCTTTGGGCGAGGGGCCGGGAGCAGGGCTGGGGGGAGCCCGGAGGAGGAGGCACCCTCTTGTCCCCCTGCAGTCTCCCTCTCAGAGCTTTTGGCTTCCTGTTAATCTATGGTCGCACCAAAGTCATGTGGTTTTCAAACCAAGGATGTGAAAAATCGCAGAAAGCAGTACCACGCTCACACAAGAGGCTGAGAACAGGTCTAAATGTCTTGCGCAGGTATGGAACTGTAATTCTGATCAATGTAACGCAATCCGACTGGAGCAGGCGATCACCTCAAGGTCACACGGACGATACATGCGTGTCTCTCCTCTCCATCCAGATGCCAACCTAACGTGAAGCCCCAGTTCCTACAAAACAACTGCCTAGAAGGTCCTCTGGTGCCGCGTTAGAGGCAGATGGGAGAAGATCGTTCAGAAGGGAGGGGGCATGTTTACAACACCAGCAACTGTACCTCCACAGAGAACAGTGCCCTAGAGTATTTCCGAGAGAAAATGGAGAAATGTGTTGCCTCTGGCCAGTGGATTTTCCAGTTCACTAGTCACACATTGTACACTGAACCCCACCATCCACAAAACTCCGGGATAAGGGAAAGAGGGATCTTTGCATTTTCTGCATCTATCAAGGAGGAATAATAGGCAGTGACTCATCCCAGTTTAAGAGACAGAAAGGCATCAGACACAGCGATAAGGAGTCCCAGCCCTGCAGGGGAAAAAAAAAGAATGCGTGGAATCTGAGCAGCACTGTGAGCTGTGGGACCCGTGTACACAGGAGAACCATCTGCAGACGCAAACAGTAGGAGAGAAGTTTATCTCTCCAGTGATTTCGCACTGCAGCTGGGTGCAGGCAGGCAGAATTACAGAAAGGGCTCCTTATAAGGCTGGACAGTCTATGTTCTTATAATCCTTTACTTCACTCCTGTGGGATCCGCAAAGAGGAAAGGGGGCAAACAGGAGGAACTGGAGTGGAACGAAGTTGGGGGGAGATGGGAAAGCTCGAGCCGAAGACGCGAAAGACCAGAGGAGGTGATGCAGATTATCTGTAACATCAGCCCCGAGTCCACTACGAAAGGACATTTGAGAAAGCCTGGATTTCGAGAAGCTTATAGGTGGGAAGAACTCCAGAGAAATCCTATCCCTTTATTCTAAAGGTGACAGTGTTTCTCAGCCTAGAGCTGTTTCAGGGGCAGGTTCCCTCAGTGCCACCAGGATGGACCCACAATCTCAGGAGCTGGGACCAGCGATCTGCTATTGGAATCACCTCCCAGATGGCCCTCCTGCATCGAAGTCTGAGGACTAATTCAAGGCAAGGGCTAGAGGGGAGGGGAATATCTGCAAAAGGAAACACGAAGTTCCCTTCACACCAGCCCCGGAAGCTTGAGGAGGGCGAGGGTATGTGGACGAGCCCTGAGCAGGAGTGAAGAACTCAGCAGCATGACAAGAGCCCGGGGCTCAGATCCACAACCCAGATGCAAACTACGAAGAGACTGAGAACTACAAAGGCTCACGACTATCACAGTGGAAAAGTCTGGAACAACTAGACATGAATGGGGCATAAGGAGGTCAGAGGAGGACCATTCCATGACATCTTCCAGGAAGGAACTTGAGAGCATTTCAAAATTCACAATTCGCACTGACACCTGTCATCCAGCTCCAAGAGAACGTTTAAGACTTACTCTTTTGCTTGAGAACCGCTATGTGAATCATTAGCTGCCCTCCCCAGTTCTACCATCTTGGCCTGGCCGGTCAGCCTTCGAAAACTGCTATACTCGACCCAACCCGGCAGGTGGGAAGGTCAAATATTGTTAACTCCTCTTTACAGTGGAGGAAACACAGGCTCCAATTTAAATGTTGTGTCAAAGACCTGGAGGCAGAGACAGACCGGACTCAGCCAAGCAAGCTCCCATCTCAGGTCTTTGCCCTCATATGGCCTCTCTCAGAATGTCCTTTGTCAAAGTATCTGCACAACTCCCTCCCTTACTTCACTCAGGTACCCGCTCAGACAGCACCTGCTTCCCTGTCTCCTTACGGAAGCGCCACGTCCAGTCACCCCCTCTCCTCAATACGGCTCCATGCTGGTACTGACCATACCATTCCTTCTGTTTTTATCATCCACTGAGGTTGGTCAGGACTTTGTTTTGGTCACTGCTGTATCCCCAACCCCCTAAAAAGTGTCTGGCACATAGTAAGTGCACAATAAAAATCGATGACATGATTTCTTAAGTGAATCATCCACCTGCTAGTCCCACATGCACTTATAGATATTACACACACACACACACACACGAGCATACGTGCCTTCTTGATACAACAGATGTGCACCTAAGGGATAAGACCTAAAATGCTTAAAAATGCTACACCCCCCTAGGTCTCCCAATCCATTGAGTTTGGCCCACAGCCCTTCACACTCCTTTCTGGGTTTTCAAATTCTCTCTAAACTTAAACCAAACGATGGCAAGCCTATCTAAACAAAAACCCGAGACTCAGATTCAATCTCCCTATGAAATCTTCCACTGATTGTTTTTCTTTCACCTCAAGTCTCTTTATTCAATATGGTAGATTCCAAATGGTTATAAATGTTCAGCGTTAAGTTCCAAAAAAATCTAAGCTTCCCTCTGCCCTCAGACTTTTCTTTACCGTAATAAAGGTGTCTTGAAATACATAGAATTTTACTGATGATTCATGCTTATTACAAAACCATGACTGAATATTAAAAGTCCTAAAATATTAATGCATCCTCAGCCATCTAACAGCCACCTGGAAAAGTGAAAGGGCCACGTATCTCTGTGACAGCATGTCGCCAGTGAATCCACAATGACACACATGTCACCATGAGACTTTCAGCTCCGCCACATTGTCACAGTTGACACAATGGTGGTACCGTTCCCTACACACAGGACTCCTGGGGCGATAACCCCACAAAACAGTGGACGTGGCTCACTTTCCAACATCTGTATCCTCCAGTTCCTCTCACTTTGATCCAGTCACTCAAAAGAGAATGCTGATGGAACTGATAAAAGACTTCTCGTCAATACATTTGAAAGCATCTCAGTTGATACCAATGTGACGTTTTGGGTGAAAACCATGTTCCACTCCCCCAACCCACCTTCCTGGTCAATGCAGGTTTCGCTGCCACCAAATCTAAGCTCTTTCTGTGATAATTCCCAAGGTGTTCAGCCTTACGCTCTACTTTTCTTCGACATAAACAAGTCACTCATTCCCATGCTGCAGATGAAGAAAACCACTTCCCTGTGGGCATACGGGGGTGGTTTGAACATAGAAGTTTGAAAACTATCCAGAACACACCTTCATTTTTACCTCAGAAACTACAGCCCCAGATACACCAAAATGAAAACCAAAAAATGAAACAGAACACAAGCAAAAGCCCTGCTGCCTCGGCAAGAGGCTGACGTGATCTGTTTGCTCCTCACAGCTCATCAGCACTTTTCTGAACTTCAGGGAATGTGCGGTGTCTGCAGATCTCACATGTCACCTTCAATGTACTTGCGACACCCACGCGAGTTATCTTGAAAGAAGTCACTGATCAGCAAGATGGAACACCAGGCGGCGCCGGGACCTCTCTGCCAGCGTCTGTGTTAAGCAGGGGCGGTGGCGGAGGGAGGGTGGGGGGGTCTGTCTAGCCACAGCCCCTCCTTCTTCAGCAAACAAGCCCTGGAACTAGGGAAAGGCAGGCCCAGGTCACCGACAATCTCTCCACCCTTTGCACTGCTGTTTGCTCCAAAGAACTTGTCCTCACAGAAACATCGTGAGGTATTTACAGTCAATCAGACCCCAGTGGGATGTAAGCTTCCTGAGAGCTTCCTGGCTCCCCGCTCTGGACCTACAACAACGCCTGGCATGAAGTAGGCACCCCAAAAAATGTTTGAATGAATAGTCAACTCTTAGGTGCACTCATAATCACTAGGACAAAATGTAAAATGCTGTCTTAACTACTAAAATAATTTGATATGAAGCAGCAACTTGTTTTTTACTTTTTTCAGTGCTCTTTCACACTGAAATGTCTTTAGTTTTTATGAAACGAAATTTATTTATCTTTTCTTTTGTTAACATCCTCCATCCATTTCTGCACACAATTCCCTTCTTTCATTCTAACACGAACAGCATTGTGTGTTCTTCTCAATGTGTAGGGTTCTGTATTTTCATGTTAGTTCTCAACTAATTTAGAATTTATGTTGAAGGGAAGTTTTCCATTCTTCTTTATTTTTTACCTTTGCTTTTGGTTTTGTTTCCCAAATAGTTAACTACCTTCATACTATTTACTAAATAACATTTGCTCTCCCAACTAGTGGTCTTGGCTATTTTAATAACTATATTATAATATTGGGTGACATTTAGCTTGTTGGTCAATTAAAATCCCAAACCTTTCATGTACGAGCTAATGTAAAGGTAT